GTGTATTTTTTCACATTTCCTTAGATTTGTGTCTGTATTTTAGAACTTTCAGTATAATGGAAGTATATAACAAGTTAAATCAACTTTCTGAAAATAAAATATCATATCCTGTTAAAGATTATTTATAAGGTAATATACTCACATATTTTGATAGTTTGATTTTGTTTTCCTGATAGACATGGGGGTTTTTGCTAGAATTTGTATTAAATACTATGCCTTATCAATATCATTTAGAACTTTGTTTCAATACTATATACACTTACCACACGATCTCTCCTTTATACCGCAGAACCTGGAATCGATGATTCTCAGCACTCTAAATGTGATATAGAGAAATGTAAGCCGCCAGAACCATTTTTCCATAAAGTGGTTCATTCTGAACACTTGAACTTAATCTCTCAAGTTCAGTCAGTTCAGTGTTCATCAGAGGAATCCTTTCCACTTCGATCTCGCTCTGATTCACCACCAAAAAATAAAAACAAGAACTCCTTACTGATTGGACTTTCAACTGGTCTGTTTGATGCAAACAACCCAAAGGCAAGTATGGTCCTCAAATGGAAAATGTTATCCATTTAATAACAGTTATTATTGATTGTTTTTCTTTGATGAACCATGATGTTAAGTTCTAATCTCTTAAAAACACAAATACATATAAGCACATCAAGATAAACAAAAACAAAAAACCTCTATCTTTTTTTCTGAGATACTGAAAAGAAATTGCTATTGAGAGTACAACCGGGATAAAGACAATTTCACTGCGTTCCTGTTCAGGATTCTTTTTACAGGGCCTACTTTTATTTGAGAAAAAAATCCCTCCTGCAGGCCCTTTCTGTCCTGCCGACTTCCATGTTCAGTGTGAGGCTGAGCTTCAGTAGTGCGGTGTGCCTTCAGTGGACAGAAGTGCTGTGCTGCCTGGTTTGTACGTATAGGATTGATAGATACGCACACGCACTTTCAGACTTCCTCCTCACCTGCTAGTTTTAAATATATGTAACCATCTTTTTCTTATAACATATAGGA